GAGCAGTGACCAGTGTTATTGTCTGAGTATGATAGATGTATGGAGTTAAATCGGTTTCAGTTTTCACAAAGACATATATGTGATTCATACATGCACAGGACAAGCTCTACACAGACACAGCACGATTCACGCAACCATAGAAGATTCACACATGCACAGCGCATGATTTGCCAATGTATTTCTGGTCCATAAACAATATTAAATTGAATTACAAAGTATCAGTGGGCTTTAAACTTCACTGCATTTGTAATCCAGGTGGGATGACTATTTGCTCCGGTTCGGTGTTCTGTCAGCTCAGCATACGGCGTCATGCCAGTATACCCTTAGTAATATACCTAATATAGAGTTTCCTCTGTCTCTGCTCTCTTTGCATACAGTGGCGGCTGGCCAATAGAGGGCGCTAGGGAGCCGCCCCACACCCAATGATCCTGATTAAGACATTACAAAAATATGTATATATTCTTTTTTATATAATTTCATTTTAAAATGAAATGTTAAATATTTTTTAAATATATCAATATATTTTTTTGGATGTGCAAGATGAATATTTATTCTTTAATAACTAGTAAAGCGTCATTTCGTTTTTCGTCGGATTGGTGACATATTTCTACCCTAGGGCGCAAAAATCTTTGCCCATTGACTCTCATTTAAAGTTTTACATGCGCAGTAGCTCCTCTGCCTCCTTTTTCAAATGTTAGGATCTGACCCAGCATTGATAAAGACAGCTAGGACTGATATAAAGAACTTTTTAGAAAAAGCAAAGGAGAAAAAACAATCTGGGATTCACATGGAAAATAATATAATAGTGTGCTTTTTCTAGATGTTTGACATTTTATATAGCTGCTCATAAATAGACACATTGCCAGAAAATAAATAGTTTTTCAATATTTAGAAAAGTATTAAGCTGAGTATTAGCTTCTCCATTATTAAACTGGTACATTTTTGTTTTAGGTTTGTATATTTGACCTTGCAAAAGAAAGATTTGCTTTTACAAAGCCTCAGAAGTACAAAAAATAAACCTGTTCATGAAATTATGTTTTGTTTTTATGAAGTGTTTTTATAGTGCTTTGTTTTCTTTTTGACATTCATAATAATATACTGGTGGGATAACTTAGCATGATTTATGGTAGATTTGGAATTAAGGTATATTTTTGGTTTTTGATATGCGTCTATTTTGAATTTTTAGCCCCCTTAGAGAAAACTCCACCAGCTACCACTGCTCACCAAGCATGCTGTTTCATTTCGCCATTTAGTCAGGTATTTGTCGAATCAAATCTCCAAGAATCACACGGTAGACTGGAGTTATGATTTCTTTGTTTGTTTACCATCCTAGATCATGTTAAGATTTTATTTTAATTTGAAGGGAAGATTTTCCAGATTCCTTTTTTTACCTATATTTTCCACATTATTAAGACCTCATGAGTTTTTCTGGAGCCAGTAGTCTGAATAATAACTTCTCTGACTCTGAAGTCAGAAACTACAAGCCTTCCAGATGTCATACTGAGAGATATTAGCAAAACTTGGCTTTCTGTGTGATGACGTTGAAGCAACAATCCCTCCAGTCAAAGATGGGTTAAGGAGCCTGAACCAAAGAGCATAAAAAACACATAGTTCTTAATTAACAGCCTCATCTCACCCACATATAAAGCACTGGCCGGTGTGATGAATGTCAAACCGGCCTTATAAAACTTTGCCTCCTTTTCTTTCCAACTGCTCCAAAGGCTTTTTCAGAATTGCTCTTATTTTGAAAAACTTCTGCATTTAGATTCAAATAAAACAGACTTTTACCGATGTAAAAATGTTTACCTTCTGCAGAACTTTCAATTGTGCTGATTGTTTTCTGTTTATCAGATGCTTCTTGAGTGAAATCTTTTATTAATATCCAGTAGCCCTCTGTTTGGCACAACAAAACTTCTAGACCATTCATTTGAATGCTCTCTAATTCCTCTTTTAAAACATACAAAAAAATACCCTTCCCCCAGAAAAATTTGAGTTTTGTTTTCATCTTATAAGCATGGATAACTACCAGTTCCTGAAAACCTGCTTTAAAGGCCTGATCAGTCATTCATGCACGGATGCCTTTGTTTTATGGCTGACCTGTCTCCATCTATGGTTTCCTCTCTACTACCAGATATTCATCATGGCTCAGTTTTAGAGCAGTGAGGTGTTGTCATATCAGTCCTTTAATGAGCACAGAGGGCTGACTGAAGCAGAGCAAGATGAAAGTTGGAAAGATAAAGGACCTGGATAGAGGAGCGAGAGTGCTGCTTTCAGAGGGTAACAATAATGCTACAGGCTGCACCTTTAGCGCCCTGAAGAAGAAAAACAAGTTTGATACAGCTATAAATATATAACATCAACTAAAAGTTTTGGTGTTAATTATTTTTCGGAAAAAAGTCTAATTATTGTTTTCTGTATGTCTGTTCATTTAATTTCATGTTCTATGCAAGAAAAATCAGCTCTATTTAAAAATAAAGAAATTTAAAGTTTGTTTCTATGTTTTCTGTTAATTGATCTTAATTTGCCCCCAAAAAATATGAGAGGAAAGATCTCGGGTTAATTTTACATTTATAAAATGACACAAACTTAATCATATGTTAACTTTGTTAGAAAAAGTCAGGAGTGACACATTTCACCTGAGAGCGTCTGCGGTTTTAACTTTTCCACTTGCAATTAACATACATTCAGCACAATCCTTAAATCTTTAAATTTTGTTGGATTAAGTAAAAACTTAAAAAGAAACCAAATGAACTGACTGCCAGTATTTAGTTTTTAGCTCTTTATGTAACATTTATGGCATTAGTGATATGAGTTTAAATGAGGATTAGGTCGAAGTTCAACTGAACCAACTGGATCGGTTACCCTCATGCAATCAGCTAATTAGCATTCATTAGCATTGAAATCCTTTACATCTTCAGGTCTGTGTTCTCTTAAAGTTTTGTTTTCCTCTTTCTAAGTTTCTAGGTAAAATTTTTGTTAGAATCTTTCTTTTGTTGGACTGTTTTCTGACTCTCTCTTCTTTATGTTCTTTGTTATTCCAGCCCCATCCTGGTTTTCTCCAAGTTAATCCTCTGATGATCAATCTTTTATTTGTGGTGTCTTGCCTCAGGATTTATGTCTGATTTACCTTTTCAATTTTTGGGGGAAAAGCTGTTTATTTCTATTACAGTATTTTTTTGTTGCAGAAAATCTCCAGACAAGAAACTCGTAGAAAAGAAACTATAAACTGGGAAAAAAATTTTTTCAAGACCAATTATATTGATGTCACTTCTTAAACCCGTGCTGAAAATTATTCATACAACCTTTGGGCAAAAGGACAATGAAAAATAATTATCACTGTCCTATTTCTCTTCAAATTCTTTCTAACTTGCCAAGAAACGTTAGCCTTGTGAGACCATGCTGATCTCGCAAGCTTTCAAGGTTTCACTCGCAAATCAGACTCTCCGTTGAAGAAAATTTGGAGCCGTTCACCAAACGAACGTCCAATCAGCGTTGGCTTTGAGGCGGGTTGAGGTGTGACGCAACGAGAAGCGCGACAGTTCAGTCTAAAGAACATGGAGGCTTCAGCCGATGAAACCAGCGTTAGCGTGGCTATCGAGCAAGTTTTATCGGAATACAGAGTATTTCTTCACTGAAAGAAGAGCAAAACACTGCTCTGGAGGCTTTTCTCAGAGGAAAAGATGTTTTTGCTCTTCTCCCGACCGGCAAGAGTAGCCTGGCTTGTGGTTGTGTTTTCGTCGTCGCTCTGTTAGTACGTCATATGCTTCGTTGATCTGATTGGTTTATTTGGCCCGTCTATCACCAACATAGGCCAATCAGCTAACCAGTATTTTCGCCCCTTCCCAAAATGACTTCAACGGAAGGTTTCCAGATGGATATGCAGAGCAAATCCATCTGGCGGAGTCAGGTTAAAGAAACGTAGGTTTTGCAGATGAAACTTCTCTTCAGCTCTCAGAACTCATTCTAAAGGATTTAGGTTTAAGGACCGATTCGGATGAAAGGAGGTTGATTTTGTGCTGGAAGAGTCTACTAGTTCTTTTTTCAAAATGTTGTGTGAATCAATCTGAATTTGGACTTTAATGGGGAAAAAAGGTTTACGTCAACATAGATCGTCCAACATATCCCACAGAGGGCATAAGATGCATACAGTTCCAGCCTGTCCAATGAAAGGCTGAATTTTTGCTTCATCATGAAAAAACTACCAAAACAAACAAGCAAATGACATCAATAGATCAAATTTTACAAATCCCCTGAAATAATCTAATAGTATATTTGGGCAAGTTTGGGTCAGGTGGTATTTTATTGTATCGTTTCAGAGTAAAACACATCTGCTTTAGTTAGACATCACATTCTCTTAGCTTTCCCATTTTGAAAATTACCTTAGAAAGACAAAGCTCTCTGTGTCACTTTATTTATTCCCCCAAAAAATCAGCTGATATCAATTTAATGATGCCATGACACTATAATAAAGTAGAAAAATAATCATTTAAAATATTTATCAAGTTTATTTGATAATGATGCATAAAGGTGCATTAAATATCAAACTGCTAAGCTTTAAATTCATGGTCTTTATCTATGATGCACCCTACTGCACTGAAGTTAAAAGTTTAATAATTTTTTCTGCCTGTAGTGTATTTTAAAAATATGCAGTGTCATTCCAAAAACATGTCTAATCCATGAGATGATAATCTGTTACTATCTTAAGACCAAACCCAGCCATCAATCTGGTAAAATAAGAAAAGGTAACGTCACACAGTATCAGGTGACATGGAAATGGGCAACAGCAGGCTCAGTGTTGATAGTGACTGACCCCTAAGTGCAGTAAAGACATCGCACAGATCCAGTAGTTGCATTACAAAGTGCTGCTGTGTGATAGCTCCGTATTTTTAGATACCTTCAAAAGTTCAGGAATGTTCCCCATGCAGCACATAACAGCCCTGCAAGAGTCCAGTACACAAGGCATGTATAAAATAATGACACTGTCTGAGGTAATGGCTTACCTTCAGCAGCATCTGTCATTGTTCCAATATTAAAATCCTCCAAAAAGTCAATTCTTTGTGCAGGTTATGTTTCCATGAAGACAAAATATCAGGATTTTCCTCCTTTAAACAGCTTAATCCTACTGGGTGTTTAATCCCAGGGTGTTTGGAAAAAAAAAAAAAACTCTTAAGCCCAGCAGGATCACGACTGTTCTATGTAAATCGGCACTTCCTTTATTTCATCACAAGTCCCAAAAATTCCTCCTGGATCCAGACATGTGCTTACATTGGTCTTAAAAACTACCCAAGTGGAAAAGGTGGAGAGACAGAGTGGCAGAGACCAAGTTTAGAAAGTCAGTGTCTTTGCCCTTTGGCAGGTTGGGTTTGCAGATACAGCAGGCCTCCCCCCCCACCCGCGGCTCTGACAGAATTAGACTGACCGCAGGGACTGCTGGGGGGGATCCAAGCAAAAGGCAGAAGTGAAAGAAGAACTTTGATGTAACTTCATCCCAGCAGCTGGTGTTTCTGCACCAGTCATGTGACCATAGTGTGTCTAAGATGTTCATACTGGTCTTTCAAGGTAACTTTTTTTTTTATGAGTTTGATGGAAAATTTGAACTGCCACTTAAAAAGCCCTGAACCTAATTGGGTGCTGTTGCTTTCATGCTGGGTTTCAGAGCAGGAGATATTTTTAGAGGGGGCTTCTGCTGTCGGTATTCTGCCTCGCCTTTTAAGGCCAGAGGTGTGACCCCAACGTCCCACCCACCCACCCACTCCCCCTCCAGACATTCACTAATCACTCTGCACCAGACCTCCACTGCTCCATACAGAGCTGTCAAGTGGTGAGCAGAGCAGACTGAGGAATAGAGGCTAGAGGCAAAAGGAAATGGATTTAAGGGCCTTTATTGTAGTGAAACTAAGAAACTGAGCAGATCTCTGTAGATGTAAATGATAGAATTTTGTCAGGAGAATTGAATCTTCGACAGAGCTTGAGAATAAAGATTTAAAGAAAAAAAACATGAAAACACTTTCAAAATTAACCTTTTTTTAACGTCTGAAAGAAAAAAAGTAGACTGAAAGATCATGTCTGTTTGGTTACTGCTATAAATAGAATGCACAGGCATCCATGAATTTTATCTCACAGAAGAATGCTGATGGTGGTTTGTGATAGTAGAATTTATCTGTCTTGCACAAAACAATTCAATCTCTTTAAATATTTAGCAGTGCATATTTTTTCATGAAATACACATAAAAACTTTTAAATTCACCAGCTTAAAAAAGAATGGTGCAAAAGATATCCTCCATTTTTAAACATAGCAGTGTAGATTTTCTTGCTAATGCCAAACACTAGGCCTATCACAATAATCAATTAATTTGTTAATCGAACGATGAAAAATATTCAGATGATAAATAAAAATAATATTAATGATTTTTATATCAATCGTTGTTTGTTTAACTTTTGTTTTCCTTTATTTGTGCTAAAGAGTCTGAACATCAAAAGGTGTCACTCTCTTGATTCGGTATCCAGTAACCCTCCCTTCTCGTGATCTTACTATCAAGTAGGATTAACAGGATCAATCCGGTGATGATATGCTGAAAATCGTCTCTGTTATCTCCCAATGGATCAAATTGAGAGGTTATTTTCTCCATCAGCTTTTCTGACACTGCATGTTCAACTGGTGACACAGTTACTCTTTTAGGCCAGTCCAGCAACTGCTCATGTGTACCAGATGTGGACATATGTGCTGAGGATTCAAATTCAGCAGTGGCAGGACCTTTCACAGGTGGCATAACATTTGCAGTCCTTCTCTAGCCACCATGGACAGTTCCAAAAATGTCCTTCATTGTTGTTGTCTGTCGTTTCTGCCGATGTTGCGAACCCTTACGAAAATTTGCAGGGGAGTCATGTGATGCTTGGTCCTCAAATAATGTTCTGTTATAATCCAGGTACCAGTGAAGTGCTGGTGGTATCCATTAATTCGAAGTAAATAAACATAATAAAGAGCCAAAATGTGCAGTTTATTGTCAAGGTCAATAATGGTCTGACTTTGTTTTTATGTAGCTTTGGTTGAAAACAGGACATTATTGTTGTAGATTCAGGTGTAACAGCAACAAAATGACAGAAAAAGCAAAACTATGCAGCTAAACATAAAGGTAAGAAAAAAAATTGACTAAAACAATTATGACATTTTGTAATAAGTGTGGAAAGTGGAACTTTTCAGAACTGAATTTTTCCTTTTTTCTAAAAAAAAAAAAAAAAGGGGGTTTTGAGTTTTCGTGTTAAATATATATTATGGAACATACACCAATTATTATCGTAAATGTTACGATCAAAGCGATGAGAAGAGGTAACTTGAACCCTGAAAGAGAAAACAAAATACAATAGAAATGGTTACACAGTATAATGCCTTGTAAATTTAAATCAATTGTGTTTTATTATATATTTTATTATTATTACTCATGCAAAACTCCTGGCAGAAGCTAAAATCTGTTCTCTAACCAATCCAATAGAGGTATTAACTAATACCTTGATATAAGCACTTAATTTATTTGTTTCTATCATTAAGACCTCCAATTAAAAACCTAAATGCAAATACTGCGATAGCATTGGAATATGTCAGGATCAATTCTTTGAATGTAGAGATAAAAACAGAACATACATTTTTAAAAATCTGAAATCTGAAAGTTTACTTACTTTTAATGAAGTGTTTCCAGTTAAAACTCTAAAAAAGACAAAAATAAACACAAGTATGATCATGAAGCAACATATAAGCTTAAAAATAGATTCACTGTGCAATGAGAGGTTGTAATTAAATTGACAAACCTTAACACTAACCCAGGAAACTCCAAGAATCTTTTCGATTTCGCACATTGAGTTGTTGTTGCGGTCGCATCTGAGGAGTTCGCGCTCATAAAACAGACAATCCACCGTGAGGACGATGTTTGGCTTCTGCACCTGTCTACTGCTGTCAGCTACAGTGTGGCTGGGATTGAAGGTGTGATGCATCACCATCAGAATGGCTTTTTTGACATCTGAAAGGGAGCAGAGAGATCCGTTATCAAATGCTGGAACAGCTACTAATAGCCATACAGAGGCTTCCCCTTTGCACGAACCAGATCAGTTTTAATTATTATCCAGCTTTAAAAAGTAAATGGTAATGCTTTTAGGCCTAAAAAATCCAAAGCCCATGCAGAAAGACCCCAGACCGGGAATCAAACCCAGAACCTTCTTGCTAGAAGGCAGCAGTGCTACCTACTTTCACACTGATAATCGTTCTATTTTGGTCTATTTAAAATGAGTTTGTCAGAGTGGAGATACCGACATCTGAACTGTACTTAGCATCAGTAAATCAAAAACCATACCTTACCTGAAATTTTGCTGAGGGCCTCATGGATGTCAGTTCCAACACGTGATACAATGGGACAGAAAACCAGGAAGTAGTCACATCCTTCAGACGAGTCTACCTCAGTTTGGCCGCAATCTGTCAGCCTTTTAACAATCGACTGATGAGCCCCGTTTGTTTTTCCAGACAAGATGACAAAGAATTTATGCCCCAATCCTGAAGAAAGAAGAGGGTTATTCTCATTTTTCTGCTTATTGCATCATTTATCATATCAGTGCTTTGAGTTTCAAATGAATCTAAAAAGGAGCACTCATATTTTTCTATTTATAGCTGGTACTATTATGGAAAGTTAATCAGAAAGTAGAATTTCTGTTCTAGCTAATAATTTCTTGCTAATGATCTACAGGTGCTGGTCATAAAATTAGAATATCATGAAAAAGTAGATTGATTTCAGTAATTCCATTTAAAAAGTGAAACTTGTATATTATATTCATACATTACATACAAACTCATATATTTCAGATGTTTATTTTGTTTAATTTTGATGATTACAAATGACAACAAATGAAAATCTCAAATTCATCATATCAGAAAATTAGAATATTGTGAAAAGGTTCAAAATTGATGGCCCCTGGTGCCACACTCTAATCAGCTAATTAACTCAAACCACCTGCAAAAGCCTTTAAATGGTCTTTCAGTCTAGTTCTATAGGCTACACAATCATGGGGAAGACTGCTGACTTGACAGTTGTCCAAAAGACGACCATCGACACCTTGCACAAGGAGGGCAAGACACTAAAGGTCATCGCTAAAGAGGCTGGCTGTTCACAGAGCTCAGTGTCCAAGCACATTAATAGAGAGGCGAAGGGAAGGAAAAGATGTGGTCGAAAAAAGTGTACAAGCAAGAGAGATAACCGCACCCTGGAGAGGATTGTGAAACAAAACCCATTCAAAAATGTGGGGGAGATTCACAAAGAGTGGACTGCAGCTGGAGTGAGTGCTTCAAGAACCACCACACACAGACGTATGAAAGACATGGGTTTCTGCTGTCGCATTCCTTGTGTCAAGCCACTCTTGAACCACAGACAGCGTCAGAAGCGTCTTGCCTGGGCTAAAGAGAAACAGGACTGGACTGCTGGTGAGTGGTCCAAAGTCATGTTCTCTGATGAAAGTAAATTTTGCATTTCCTTTGGAAATCAAGGTCCCAGAGTCTGGAGGAAAAGAAGAGAGGCACTTCATCCACGTTGCTTGAAGTCCAGTGTAAAGTTTCCACAGTCAGTGATGGTTTGGGGTGCCATGTCATCTGCTGGTGTTGGTCCATTGTGTTTTCTGAGGTCCAGGGTCAACGCAGCCACATACCAGGAAGTTTTAGAGCACTTCATGCTTCCTGCAGCTGACCAACTTTTTGGAGATGCAGATTTCATTTTCCAACAGGACTTGGCACCTGCACACAGTGCCAAAGCTACCAGTACCTGGTTGAAGGACCATGGTATCCCTGTTCTTAATTGGCCAGCAAACTCTCCTGACCTTAACCCCATAGAAAATCTATGGGGTATTGTGAAGAAGAAGATGCAATACACCAGACCCAACAATTCAGAAGAGCTAAAAGCCACTATTAGAGCAACCTGGGCTATCATAACACCTGAGCAGTGCCACAGACTGATCGACTCCATGCCACGCCGCATTGCTGCAGTAATACAGGCCAAAGGAGGCCCAACTAAATACTGAGTGCTGTACATGCTCATACTTTTCATGTTCATACTTTTCAGTTGGCCAACATTTCTATAAATCCTTTGTTTTTATTGGTCTTCAGTAATATTCTAATTTTCTGATATGATGAATTTGAGATTTTCATTTGTTGTCATTTGTAATCATCAAAATAAAACAAAATAAACATCTGAAATATATGAGTTTGTATGTAATGTATGAATATAATATACAAGTTTCACTTTTTAAATGGAATTACTGAAATCAATCTACTTTTTCATGATATTCTAATTTTATGACCAGCACCTGTAAACGTTTAAATAGAGCATTTTTCTCTGTATAATTAGTATTGCTATGATTATTGTAATTATTGTTAAAGGAATAGTACACCCAAAACATGATTAGCCTTCATTTTCTACTCACCCCCATGCTGAACAACACTCTGGAGTACTTTTTTGATATCTCAAATGCATCTGGAGATCTGGGAGGCTTCTTGCTGTCTGCTGACATTCAAATAATGGAGGTCTATGGTGCCCGAGGCAGAAAGGTCCATAAAAGTCCACAAAAAACGTGTCAATATTCCTCCATACTGCTTGTCCAATGTATTCCAAGTGTCCTGAGTGGGTAGCGTCCATAATTTACTCGAAACGAAGTCATTTAGAATGTTTTTAGAGCATAAACAGTAGTGTATAGGATTTCCTAAAAGCGCGCGCCTGCGAGTTCACGACTCTACGGAAACCGCGGCAGACCAAACCAGATGAAAGTGCGCATTCAGCGTCTGCTCTGCCAATAATGCCGGCGTAGAAGAAGAAATGTGCTGTTTACCTGTGCAAAGAAAGAAACAACGAAAGAAAAATGTCTGAGGACTTCAGCGTTTAGGAAGAGCATGAGTTCTTTGCCGAGCTGAATGCGCACTTTCGTCTGGTTTGGTCTGCCGCGGTTTCCGTAGACTCGTGAACGCGCTTTTAGGAAATCCTATACACTACTGTTTATGCTCTAAAAACATTCTAAATGACTTCGTTTCGAGTAAATTATGGACGCTACCCACTCAGGACACTTGGAATACATTGGACGAGCAGTATGGAGGAATATTGACACGTTTTTTGTGGACTTTTATGGACCTTTCTGCCTCTGGCACCATAGACCTCCATTATTTGAATGTCAGCAGACAGCAAGAAGCCTCCCAGATCTCCAGATGCATTTGAGATATCAAAAAAGTACTCCAGAGTGTTGTTCAGCATGAGGGTGAGTAGAAAATGAAGGCTAATCATGTTTTGGGTGTACTATTCCTTTAAATTTACTTCCATTTGTTGTGTCTTTTCACTTAAATACATCAGCTCCTGTTTACATAGAGATGTGAAGACTAACATGTTACATCATCAATGCTCTGCTAACTTATTATGTGGACCCACCCTCCATCTCAACCTCTTAGTTTATACTTGTCTAAAATGCAAAAAAATTGTTTGTGCTTTTATCTACTAGGTAATTACACACATTTACTCATACAGCAACTTTATATTGATGGTCCAGTTTGCAAAATGTGAATGAAACTGTCTTTCTTCCATATAGTTTCTCCTTTAACTGTTTAATGATACACAGAAACCAACTGACCTTGTGTTAGACATGTAAAAGTTGTTTTGTAAGATCATTTAAAAACTCACCAGGATTTCCTTCAGTAGTCATGTTGCTGTAGAGGGATAAGGAAATTAAGATTTTTCATCAATACATTGAAAAAATGCATAAGATTTAAAAAATAAAGAGTCCAAGCATGAAAGTTTTGTCTTTGCTGCTTCAACGGACTTCCTTTTAAAACTAATCAGACTCATATCGGTGCAAAAAGTCCACAGCCTCAATTAAAAAAATGTTAAAAGCTGATATCTTACCCAGTTTGTTGATAGACTGATATCTATCCAGCACTGTAAAAAGAAATAAAGCTCCACACTGTTGATCCCCGAAGTGAAAGTCCAACCGAGTGTTTTAAGTCTTGTTTCAGCAGTGAGGACAAGTTGCTGCCTGCAAATTAAAACTATGCAACAATGGCAGCACCAAACATAGCTATCAGAAATACTGCTATTCAATTTGAAGATGAATCATGATATTTACATACATAGCATATGAAAAGATCTCCACTGTTTTACCTGTCTGTGTGGTTCGTGCGTCTAAATTATGTATCCCTTTTTATTTTGCATCTGAGGGTTGAATCATTATTTTGATGTTTTTCTCATACCCTGTTCCTTCTTAGTTCCTGTCTTTTTGGATATAGGGTTTAGAAAAGATAGTTGCTCTTTAGACAGATTCATGTTATGATCTGCTGTTTTGGACTTTTTGGTTCTGTTCAAGTTTTCACTTTTGGTTTCAGTTATGCTTTTATTTCTGATATTCTACATTGTTTTCGAAATTTATAGCATTTTTGAATTACTTCTTAGTTTAACTCTTGTTTGTTCTTTCATTTATCTATTTTTCCAGCATTCTTGTGAGTTATTTAGTCTTTTGTCATATTTCATTTTTTTTTATCCTTTCCAGTTCCTTCAGAGTTAGATTAAGCACTGTAAATTCCTAGCAACTCTCAATAGCCTACTAACCTGACTCCGCGAGATGGATTTGCTGGATTTGCATATCCATCTGGAAACCTTCCGTTGAAGTAATTTTGGGAAGGGGTGAAAATACTGGTTAGTTGATTGGCCTATGTTGGTGATAGACGGGCCAAATAAACCAATCAGATCAACAAAGCATATGACGTACTAACATAGCGATGACGAAAACACAACCATAAGCCAGGCTACTCTTGCCGAAACCAGTCTGGAGAAGAGTAAAAACATCTTTTCCTCTGAGAAAAGCCTCCAGAGCAGTGTTTTGCTCTTCTTTCAGTGAAGAAATACTCTGTAATTCCGATAAAACTTGCTCGATAGCCACGCTAACGCTAGTTTCATCGGCTGAAGCCGCCATGTTCTTTAGACTGAACTGTCGCGCTTCTCGTTGCGTCACACCTCAACCCGCCTCAAAGCCAACGCTGATTGGACATTCATTTGGTGAACGGCTCCAAATTTTCTTTAACGGAGAGTCTCCAGAATGATCTGCTAGTGAAACCTTGAAAGCTCGCGAGATCAGGATGGTCTCAGGAGGCTAATAGCCTACTGGTTCTCATTATTCTGGTCATTTTCCTGTTGGTCTCCTTCTCAGCAAATATATTATTCAATTCCTTACCTCTTGTGCTGTTACCTTGTCTGACTCCTGTGCCTGTTTACTCTGAATATCACTGCTGTTGCCATTTCCTCCAATAAATCCCTAAAACATCAGCTGCCTCTGTCCCTCAGTTCCCTAAAAAAGAAATGAATTCGCCTCCAATAGTGGAAGGATGTTTGATGTTCTCCATGGTATCCCTCCTAGTTTGAGACTGTTTATGAAAGATTATGGAAAGAGTCAAAAAAGATGGCTTGCAAATAGAGAGCTCATGTTATCTGAAAATGTAATAAAAATGTGTGTGTTCTTCAAACAAAATGTATTAACCTGACGTCCTTCTCCTCCCTATGATTGTGGGACCTGCTCAGAGAGCCAGCTGCAAACACATAAAAACAGAATGAGTTCTATACTTTCATTGTGAAGATTATGTTCTTATGCCTCTGGACTCTAGGAAATGTACTGTAGAGAAATTTCAAAATACCCCTCCTAGTGTTAATGTTTTCAGTTATGGAGGATTACAATTTTCAATCCAGCGCAGAAACAATGAGGACATCTGCAGGCCACTGAGCGCACATTGTTCCAGCGAAGCTGTATCTCTCAATTTTCTTCAGAACCAGAATCCACCAAAGTCTGTGCAGGAAAAGCTGAGTTTTACAAACAATTGGTCAATGTCAATGTTAAATGTATTTATTTAGGCCTTTAAAACATGTATAAAACTGCACCAAAGTGCTTTACAGAAAAGACAACAACACCAATTAACAAAACAGAATGTGAAACACTGCTTCAATTAAAAGTTAAAGAATAAAAATAAGTTTTAAGATTTAAAATGATCCAGGCTGTGGGCAGATTTAATTTGAAGAGGTAAATGGTTCCACAGAATTGGAGCAACAGCAGAGAAGGCCCGATCTCCTTTGCTCTTAAGTCGAATCAGAGGAACTGTCAGTAATAGTTGATTATTTGAAGGTAGACATTTTGTAGTTTAAGGGGTATATAAATCTGAACATCATCTGCAAAGAAATGAAAAGAAATACCAAACTTATGGAAAATATGACCAAGAGGCAGTAAATACAAAATAAACAAAATAGGACCTAGAATTGAGCCTTGGGGAACACCATATTTTAAAGGTTTGGCCCCAGAACAGCATTGGTCAAGATGAACTGAAAAAGTTCTCTGGTCAAGAAGTCAAAGCGGAGAAATAAGAAATTAGGAGGTTTAGTTTTTACAAATTCACCTACAGTTTCTTTATCCTTGCTTTTCTAGATGTCTTCTGTTTTCATTGGAGCAGCAGGCAAAAAGAAAATCCCCATAGTTCCTAAACCATTCATCCATCTCTTTCATTCCTGAGGCATGAAGCATACTTGATGAATATGAGTTTGCTAAAGGGGAGATCAAAGGAGAAGCTAGGGACAAAAGAGGAGAAATATGAAGGAGAAAAAATAAACTGTTTATGTTAAAACTTCTTTCTTTGACTGTTTCTCCTCAATTGTCAAAACAAATAACTTGGGGAAATAAATCCTCCAAGGTAAAATCCTGCTTTAGTGTGATGTTTTTAACTTTGGAAATGTGTTCCAATTAAACTTTTTTGTCTGAATAACTGTAAGTATTTATAAAAATAACACCTGGCAGGTATTACTTGAACTTTTCAATAAGCCAATATATCTATGTTAAAAGGTTTATGTACCTAATCTAATATTTCATTACTGCACTTATATTATACTAATCGCTACATTTAACAGGGAACAGGCTATTTATCTTTTTTGCATTTAAAATACTCTCTGGTTTGGATCTTGGGTTTGTCTCTGTGCATAATTTGGTTTCTGTTTCATTATCCTCTTGAGTCTGAATGTAATATGGGATTAGACTGGAATGAAATGTATATGTTTAGTCCATTTAGATTCTATAAAACTGGAAATTAAGTGGGTCTACTTAAGCATAGAGATTAAATTTAGCACTATCAGCTCTATACTACCAAAGTTGTTACGTAAAATTTTATTAGGGCATAAATAAATCAGCAAACTGTGTAGAAAGTAATGTCACGGGTACTTCCTTTTAGGTTTATCTGATGCTAATTAGCTCTACCTGTAAGCAAGCTGGGCTGTCTCTGTTGGTGCCTGTAGTGTTGTAATGTTACTAAGGTAACACTTTCTTTTACAGTACATGTAATATCCATGTAATAATATGGTAATAACATAGCATGTTACACTATATTACTAGGTAACAAGAAAACTTTATTTGGTAATTACCAAAAAATTAAGGTATATAATTTGAAAGTAATTACTTGCATGTCATTATTGCAATTGCATATTACTATGTAAGAATAGAGAATTTTGGTGGGTAATTACCATCAGGTTACGCATAACTTTTTATTATTGCCCACCACCTACCAACAGATTACAATGTAAATTGTAACTCGTGATCAGGTAAGTGCAGCGGTTCAAATTTCAGGTAGACAGGGTAAAATCAGACTTCTTACATGGATATTACATGTACTGTAAAAGAAAGTGTTACCGTTTGGGTCTTGCAAATGTTCACAAACATTTAAGAATAAACCAAGAACTGAATCTTCTGTCTGAAAAGGCTTGTTCTCTGTGAAATGGGTTTATAAGGCTGCCATGTATGCTGCACAGCCCTGCTGCTCAGCACGATTCAGTAAACCTGCAGCTTTTATTCTTATATCTGTTGAGAAAACATGTTCTACAAGACTTGTGGAACAGCCCTCTGGTTTTAAATCACAAGTGAAACTGTTTTATTTAGTCAGAGGAGCTGTGGTTCTTACACTGCGCTGGAAAGCTTTGACGAATGGGAAATCATCCGTCTGTGGGGTAAGTTACTGTATTAGCTGAAACAGTCTGCTAAATGGTTTTACTGCAAAAAAATCACAACTTACCTACCTGCTCAGCGTTTTTATTTCTGTTTCGGAGGCGGTGAATATTTGTGCTGAACAGCTTATTATTTGAAGCTTAAAACAAATCTTTTCATTTTGATTTATTTTTAAGAACTTTCTTTCCAATTTCTTGACTCGTATTTTCTGTTTTTCTGTATCTTTATGATCAGAAATATGGATGGAGGTGAACAGAGGGGTGAGTTTCTACCAACTATTAATTTAGCACCGATTTATACAATAAATAATACTGTATTTTCATTTGAGTCTTTCCAAGTTATTTATCTTAAGGACAGCTGACTCTTAACTATTTTACCTGTTAAAAAAAAGAAAAAGAAAGAAATCCTTGTTGACATCTGAAAGTTTTGTGTTTAGCAATATGTCAGACTTCTGTCTGTCTGTGTTTATGTCCTCTCCTCAGCTACGCATTATGTTTTATATTTCAGGCATAGCAATCAACAGGTTTGGGCTGTTGTTTTAACCAGCTACAAAAGATAAATGTAACAATGCATCCAAATTCCTGCTGAACAAACAATCCTAAAGTCCACTTACTGAAGTATTTCAGAAGACGTTCAACTACTGCATTTATAGATATTTATGGACAGTTTGCAATAATGAATGGCTCTTCCCTGATTAAGGGTACATAGTCATGTTATTTTACTTTTTTTATCTATACGGAAGTAACTCACTCTGGTTGCATACTTTTTTATGACTAAATACGTTTTTCTGCTGGCGTCTTTGTCTTTTAAGCTTTATTTTTGCATATGTGGCAGGGATTAGGTCACGCCCATGCAAACAATTGGTCAATGTCAATGTTAACTTTATTTATTTATGCCTTTAAAATAGGTATAAAACTGCACCAAAGTGCTTTACAGGAAAGACAACAACACCAATTAACAAAACAGAATGTGAAACACTGCTTTAATTA